CCCCCCCCCCCCCTTCAAAACTGCTCTGGGACATTTATTTAGTTTTATGAATAGTTCATGAATCGGTCACTTTAACAGCCTACAAGCTCACTCTACTGTTTATTGCATTATATTTTGCACTACTGTTATGATCAACTCGTCCTGTTTATTCTTTATTCTGGTAATTCTGGTATTGTCATTTCCACTTAATCACCTCATCAGTACATAACTGTGACTATATAGAACCGGTATGCACACCTTCACTTTACTAAGTTTCTCAGGTTTATACTTTATATTGCACTATTGTTTACTCTGGCCTTGCACATCCATTATCTACCTCTCATCATGTTATTGTCTTCAGTCAGCGTCCCTTTGTCTCCTGTTAGTCACTATTGAGCACGATGCATCAGAGGTCCTGCTGCTGTTCACTTTTATATTTTTTTATATATTTTTTTTATTTTATTTATTATTTTTTTTTTTTTATATAACTAGTTGTGTTAGTTTATTTTTGCTAATGTTGTTGTTTGCTGCAATTTGAGTAGGAGTGTAACGCAATTTCAATTTCTATGTATGTCCTGTACATATGCAGAATTGACAATAAAAATCAATCAATCAATCAATCAATCAATCAATCAATCAGATGAGTTGTAAAACAAGATGCAATCTTGCACAGGCTTAGAATTATTGTCAGGCTTAGAATTGAGAAAGCTCCTTGGATGAGGAGCGAAATGTCTTCTGTTACAAATAAAGCCCAGTTGTTTTTGTATTGAACACTTTTTGAATTCACCATGTCCTGGATGACTGAGAATCTTCACCAGCATATTGCACAGGCTTAACTCTTTTGAACATTATCCATACATGTTTTGGTACATAACTCATTCTGCAACTTTTGTGCTTTTTTTGTGCTAACTTTATGCTCCTTTCAGCCTCCTAATGCTATTTTCAGATTACTTTTAATTAGCTTTTTCAGCTACCTTTTGTGCTAATTTCAGCTGTTTTTTGTGTGCTAATTTTTTTTATTTATTTTTATTTTTGTAATCCTTTCAGCCTCTGCCTGTTTCAGAATATTCTGCTCTTTTTGGCTACATTTCTGCTACAATTCTGCTTTTAATACATATTTTTGTTTTGTAATTTTCTGCTGCTTTGTTGCTTTTAGCAATGTCAGCTGTTCAAATTCAACAGGCAGCAACAGTTCAGCAATGAAACCTTTTCAGCTTGTCCTGACGCATGATCGATAATCCAGGTAGATAAATCTAACAAGGCTGAGTCAGGTCCTCTGGACGGATTCTTCTTTATTGAAAGGTTTCGTCTTATCCAAAAGATATCAGTCTGAAGAGCTGCAACAAACTTAAGCAGCACCTTCTCATAGTGAATCAACCAGTTTGTTGGTGTCAATCAAAACTGTTCTCCTTTGGCAAAACAAGACTTAGTTTGTTTGCAGCTCCTCAGACTGAAGAAGACTTCTGGATAAAAGATGAAACGTTTCAATAAAGAAGAGTCTGTCCAGAGGGATCTGACTCAACCTTGTTACACTTTTCAGTCTGGTTTCAACTTCTTCAGCGGCTTTCAGCAAACATCCTTCAGCTATAAGAATTCCCATGCATTTTTGCAGTAAATGCAATTTATCTAGTTTAATTTATAACCTGCACCAAGCAGCTTGTTCTTGCTGCATCATTGTTCTCCCAGCCCGACTGCACATTAATCACAGCAGGACAAAACTTTAGGGTCAAACACCATCAGTCCTACCGGATATTGACTGAAGGGCTGTCATAACCACATTCATTTGAGCTTTTCTTTATTCATAAAGTCCAAAAGCAACACTGCTAGATCATCACCGTTTGTAATCTATGATTTTCTGGTTTTGCTATTTAAGTTTAAAATCTATTTTAGCCATGACCTGTTGAACACCTTTTATAAATATTTTCTTACCTTAAGTCTCTTGTGTATTTCCACACAAACACAGTTATAAATTCTCACAGGATTATCCAAACATTTGTGAAAAAGTTTTTCCATAAACAGCCATTTTGAGTTATTTCAACGACCATTTGTTAAAATCTTTTTTTTTTTTCCTCATAAGCAGCTAATCTTTAAACTTAGTTATCACTTAGTTCTTGAGTAAATACGTCGTCAGTTTTTGTCCTGGAGAGACACGATTTAAAAGAAGTGTGACAAATTTTAATAAGGATTGGAGCATCAAGCTTCAGACATTAAGAAAGAACCTGTTGAACACACGAAGGGAGAGTTTCCGAGCCGCCTCTGAATGCACCACCTGCACTTTTTTTTTTTTTTTTTTCGCTTCCAGGAGGAGAATCTCTTTTATCTGCGCGTGCTAAATGATGCTGCGAGCTGATTGGCTGCCTGCAGCTGACTTATGCTCCATCCTGCACGCGGACTCTCGCAGAGCGGGACTGCAGTCAGCGCTCTGACACTCGCTCCTCCTCAAACACACACACGCACACATGCACACATGAGTGCGCCTCTCGTCTGCACACACAACCGGCCGCTGCAGCCAGTCGACTTTACCTGAACGAGGAAAAGCGGCGGAACAAACCCCACCAAACGATGCGAATTAACCGCATTATGCGCCACCGCAAGTTATTATTACTTGTGCGGTAACCGAGGAGGTGTGAGCGCGCATGCCATCACTATGGATTGCGTTTTTCTTCTGATATGGACTTTACCCATCCCGCTGGTCGGCTGCACCTCAGTCAAGCTTCTCTCCACCTTCTTGACCTGGAATATCTTCAAGGCATGAGAACTATCCTCACTTTTCATATGCAGCACGTGCACCTGGGAGCAAAGATAAACAAGCATTTGTCTCTTCAACGTTATTTATGTCAGCAACAAAGTGCTGCCTTCACTGTTATTATCATTCATCGTGGTGAAAAGTGGAGCCAAATTAAACTCAAGTGCATCTCGTGTTTCAACAGAGGAACTCCATTTATCACCACGTTTCGGCATCCTGTTTTCTTACTGTTGCAACCTGTTGCTACCTGTCCAGTTACATTTTTTTTTCCCTTCTCCTTTTCTTTTTGCAGACTCTGCACATCTACTGCACACACACCTCCCACTCTGATTTGGCCAGCTCTTCCTCCAGCAACAGCTATGGATTAAATCTTGGTGAGTGCTTGTCTTTATAGACATCCCTGGGTGTTCCTTCCAGCTGGCACCGCTCCTCGTTTGTAAAGTGAATGGGGATGAGAAGAGTTACATGGCAGCTCCAATTCACTGGAGTGGTGGTTCCCAAAGAAGAAGTCTTAAGTAAAAACAGGTTCAGTAGGGTCACATGCCAGCTCGTCATGTTCAAAACTTTTGTTGGGATCTTTATATTGTGTCAACGTTGCTGCAGTCCTCATTTGAGGATTCCCTCTTTGGCTGCTTGATCTTGCAGAAACTTTGTACGTGTTTTACATACTGTAACTTACTCCCAGTGATCTCTTAGGTCTACGCTGTTGAATGATTTATAGCTAAAAGAAAGAGCAATGAGCAATGCATGTGTCTCTGCTAACATATAACCACAGACTAATGTAAATGATCACTTTTCTCTCTGACTTCTGAAAAATGTTGGCAACACTATAAAGCAGAGGTATCCTGTGATGTGACTTTTTCCATTCCTTTCCCTCAGACTATGTGTTTGTAACACCTGTGGAGGTGGACTCTGATGGTACATACCTGACACATGATGTGCGCAGCAGAAGCCATCGAAGCAGGAGGTCCCTGCCTACTTCCTTGCACTACCGGCTCTCTGCCTTTGGGCAAGACATGCACCTGGATTTGCATCCATCTTCTGTGGTCGGCCCGGGGTTCACCGTGCAGACTGTCGGCTCTCATGGCATCTCCACAGTGACGGACGATGAGAGGTTTCATCACTGTCTGTATCAGGGATTTATTCGCAACCTGTCAACGTCCTCCGCAGCAATATCAACATGCTCTGGACTGGTAAGAGTTGCACACGTCAAGTAATCATTCCCTCTAAACCAATTCTAGCTTTCATGGTTTTTGATTAGGTTGAAAAGCTTTACCAGACCTTAAACTGGCAAAACATTTGAAGACTTCATCAGAAGAACTCTTTTCATGCTTTGAATAGCTTAATGAATGATCTCCATTCTTGCCTGTTTTTCTAAATTCTTCTAATATTTTATGCCAAAAAGGGATCCTGGTAAAATAATTATGAACTGTAACATGGCATCTAAAGTCATGACCATCAGGATCAGATGCTGGTAATTTTAGACTTTCTTCATTTCATACCAACACCCTTTACTGAGTGGAGGTCTTTTTGTATTAATGGTTTTATTATTACATACCCATCTATTTCTATGCCTTTGTCTAGGATTAAGTTAAGGTTAGAGCCAAGGTTCAGAGGTTGTCGGTGTTGGATCTCAAAGGATAAGATTAGATAGGGCTGAGGACAGGGGAGAGGATTTGGTGAACAATAAACTTACCATCAAGTCAAAGAAGGTATTAATAATAAAATTCCAGTTCATTAGGTCTTTAGTGTTGTTTTTTTTTGTCAAGGTAGCTATGAAAAGACCCATGACAGACAGCTTTTTTCTTACCCACAATGCATAGTGACGAAAACAGCAAACGTATGAAGTGCCAAAAGAACAAATTGACATAATGATGTGAGGATGACTTCCTTGTGCTTTGCACTGCATTTATTTTAAGCAAGAAGAATTAAACAAAAATGAAAGAAGTAAAACAAGAGAAGGGAGAGCTGTCACACAATACAGTATATTTATAATGAAGGCAGCCCACACACGTTTGACACTATCCTAGTGAACAGCGCCACAAAGAAATCTATATGTCTGATAGAGTTCACTTCAGTTTTCATCTCATTCCATCAGTTTTCATCTCATTCCGTCACCCTTTTCATATTTATCAGCAATATGTTTTTGTCTTAGATAAAGGTACCGTAGTATCTAAGTGGGCTACAACCATTGTAGACTATTTGGCGACTCGACCTAGATTCAGTATTGTGAGAAAATACACAAATTTTCAGTTACAGTCTCACTGAATTCTGAATTGTTGAGACCCAATGACCATAGATCCAAGTAGCCATTTTTAACAAGCCGTCATGCTTGTTTTGGGATGCAGGGTTCACAAAGCTTCATTCTTGGCCATTGCTGCCCACGCTCAACCACAATGTGTGCATTTTGACCACCTTGGCACCTGACATGTTGTCTGCATCAAACTACAGCTTTTGTGCTCCTTAGACAGGTTTGACACACTTGCAACAACTCTGTGACTATTTTAAGAGAACATTTGTAGCACAAATTATTTGAACATGTTCAAAATTCAAGTGACAAGACTGAGCCTTTGCAATTCAAGCAAAGAATTTGAGAACCCTTCCAAACGTCCTGTCATTCTGGATTCTCCCTTACAAATGCTGTTCATTAACTAGTTGCCAGAAATCACAGCCCAGTGAGATACTACATTAAATGGTTTTTCACACCTACCACCCCTACTGTTCATTGTATGTTAAGTGATAAACACCTACTGTTTCAACCTTAGAAGTTTGGTCTTTAGGACAAAGTCTTACTCAATGCATTTTTGAATTAACTCTCAGGTTGCACTTTTGTTTTTGATACAGCCTGTGGAAGTAAAGTTGGTGGAAAATACAGCATTCCAACATAATCAAAGCTTAAATTGAATATATAACCCTGTTTCAATTTTTTTTAAACTAGCTAAAGAATTATGTAAAACTGACAGTAAGTGGTTTCAGGGTGAGTTCAATGCTATAGCTAGCTGGTCATTGTAACTTCAATTTCATGAAATAACTTACAGGAGCTTTTTTACCACTGACATTAATAACTTAAATCAATGGGAAGCGTGATAGCACAGAGGTTAGAGAAATGAACATCCGTGATCAGAAGGTCATTGATTCAAATCCCCCTGCTAACCATAACATCAAATTTGTGGGTGGAAAAGGTGGCGCACCCACTTCTGCCTCCACCTTCATTTGCCCCACTCTCGGTCCTTGAGCAAGTCCTTTAACGACCCTCCCATCCCATCCTCACCCCCCTAGATGGCACTCCTCTGCTCCATACAGAGGGCTGTGGTAGCTCAGTGGTCGGTGGTTGAGTCAGGAAGGTCATCAAATCCTTGTGCATGTTTGCTCCCTGTGGTGACCCCTGGGAGCAGCCGAAAGAAAAAAAAAGGGCTTTTCATGTCTTCAAAAAGTCAACCAATCAAGTTTTTTTCCCTTTACATGAGCTTCATAAAAAGTATTTTTAAGTTAAATAAAGAGAGTTACCATTGTCACCTTTGCTTCCAGCTTTGATGTTCTTTCCTTAATTTCACATTCTGACTGTAGATAAAAAGTAAAAGAAGAAATATTACTAATACTGGCTTAAAATGAAAAGAATCCAGAACATTTTCTAACCAGATATTTGAATGTTCCACTGCACTGCTAAGACATCACAGAGCTTCATTAGCGTCACTGATTTACACCAGCTCTTCCCACTCAAGACATCTATTTTCCCTTTAAACCACAGACACTCTGCATTTACTAGATCCTCCACTTTCATTGGAGGTTTATGAGCAGTCTGGACCCAGTACATCTTACACATTCCTTGACATATCCCACACCAGCCTGGGCTAGATGGACGTGTTACAGCATCACAAAAGTTATACGTCCATTTATCATCCAGCCTCCACGGGTGCTCTTACCTCCAGTGCTCGCGCCGTTCTGTTTGTCCTCTGTTTGCCCTGCTTCTACATCTCCGCTTGTTCACAGCAATTAAAGCCAGGGTGAAGTTTGAGCCGCCTGGCTGGCACTGCTAATCTTCGTATTGTCCCTTTCATTAGGCTTGCTTCCACTCACAATAAAACACCACTGACCCGTTCACTTAAAATCGCTGCGAGGACACAATGTGATCGGGTTGTGATTGCACTTGAATGAGCCAGTATAAATGTTTTGATCTATTTTTTACTCCTCCTAAGCATTTACCATTTTTTTCCTCTCTCCTTCCTCACCTAAAGTGTGACCCTTAGGCTATCAATTGCTGAAACACCTCATTTGGTCTTTCTTTTTGTTCAAAGCAGATGATTTTTTTTTTACTCAACAAAAGTTACAAAGAAAAATAAAAGCACTGGAATATTTATGGGATATTCTAGGCTGCTTCGTATTCTGATATAATCAAGTAGGTGATTTAGAGACGACTGAAGCACAATCAAAAGAAAAAGGAAAAACCACTAGGGAGGTGAATTATATAAAAAAAAGTATGAATGAGGAGTGATTTGAGCTAGTCTGTGCTTGGAGCACCGCGCTACAGAGTGAAAGTGTTGTGCAAGAGTAATGTGAATTTATTGTGTGGGGGTGAAGCACCCAGGGAGGCTGGACGTTCTCTTTACACTGAGTGATGAGTCCATCACTTTCTTCACAGAAAATGATGGGCTCGGTTTAAAAAAGATCACTGATCTTTTATTGTTTTCAACATAGAGGAGGAAAGAAAAGAAAAGGGGACTAGTGAAAGGGACTGCATAAAACCCACCCGAGGTGTCAGCACCAGCTACTGTGCCAAACCACAAATAGGACTTTCTTGAAAAACAGAAGGAAACTGTTAAAGTGAAGAGTAGGACAGGATGGTATTAAGAGCATGGATGACAATGTGGGATTTTCTACTGTAAATCCCTGATAATAGCACAGAGTATTATCTGTTGAGTTTTAATCACTCTTTATCTTTAGGGAGACCTAGCTTACCGTTTTGACTCGATAAAATCATCTTTCTCTGTTTTACTTGGGAGATAAAAGAACACCCTTTCAAATGTAATGGTTTCTGATTTGTAAAAGAAGTGCGTGGGAGTGGTGTTAGTATTGGTGGGGGTCTTTTTGCTTCGGGTCTCACGTTTGAGGTCGCTCTGCTGCTTGACCCCAATCCTCCCTGCTTGGGCGTATGGGGGGTTGGTGGTGGTGTCAGCCTCACAGGTTCCTACTTTGTCAAACAAGTTTAGAGCTGCTCAGCACTGCAGTAAATGCAGAAAATTGAAGTGATTTACAGCTCTCCCCTGTTCACCCAGATTCTCCTTTTTGGAGAGACCAGAGGAGATCTGAGTCTTGCATTGCCAGGCTTGTTAAAATGTGCAAAAACATCTTTATGCGATCATGTATTTATTACACTTACAATATGTTAACATTAAAGCATAACGTTTAAGGAGAATATGATGAGAAATAACTTGGTTAGTTTTCATATGAAGTATGTTTGAGAAATGGGCATGCCATAAAAATACATTTGTACGTTTCCTATATGTCATAAGCATGATTTGGGATGGAAGGGAAGGCTGAGATAGTCATCATTGTATGTTCACATACAACGGCCCCATTAGTTCTCTGCATTGAACCCATCACACTTGAGATACACCCAGGTGGAGCAGTGGGCAACTATGTAAATGCCCGGGGAGCAATTAGGGATTAGGTGTCTTGCTCAGAGACACCACGACATGCAGGAATGGCAGGGAGTCAAACCGCAACTTTCTGGTCCTAAGTCGGCTGTCCTACCTCTACCCAATCTTGGTCCCTGTAGTCTATAATTAAATTTCTCTAGTATCGCAGACACCCAGAGTCAGGCTGACTGTCTCAGGATGTGGACGAGACGTGCACGGTTTTAACTATGACCTTTATGCCCCAACAGGTTAGGCTTGGGTACATTTACACTGCATGTCATGCTCAATTCAGAATTTTGGCTCAGATTAGATTTTTTGCATGGTCATTCACATTATGCTTCTTGGTGGAACAGTTGATAAAGCTGACTCTTAGAAGGTTGCTTGATTGAATCCCGGCTTGGGGACTTTTCTGGGTAAGTTTGCATGTTATCTTTGTGCATGCATGGGTTTTCTCCAGGTACCCTGGTTTCCTCCCAACAGGCCAAAAACTTGCATGTTAGACTGATTGATAACTATGAATTGTCCCTAGGTGTGAGTGAGAGAGTGAATGGTTATTT